TAAGACTGGCAGGCAGAGTGTCCTGAATAGTCTTGAGTTCTGGGCAAGCCAGCCTAGGTTGCCCACATGGTGTCTTGGAGGGGAAAAGTCTTCTGGTTTCTGCCCGATAACCACAGGAATCGTGGTGGGCCCCATTTCCTATGATTGACCAAGCCGTTAAGGAAGAAGTTAATGCACACTACATGAGGCCCTATAGACAGGCTTTTGTTTGCTTCTAGCAAGTTCTGCATACTCATACAAATTTATAGGAATGTAAAAGCCTCTTAAACAGGTCAAATAAGGATCAGCTGGAGGTCTACTGCAGATCAGATGCATCTTTCAGGGAATTCTGAGTGATCTCGGAAGCATCTCAAATTGCTGCCTTCGACACAAGCCCACAGCTTGCTGACACAGGCCCTTACCATGTCTCGTTCTGCACTGTGTTGAAGTGACCATCCTGGTAGGGCTTTGCTTCCTCATGCCGGAGCCTCCAGCAAAAACAATGAGCATGACAGTCGTGACATTACCAAATCTTATCCCCTTAGAATACCATCACAGGACGCAGTGCCTTAGAACTCATGCTAAGTCTTTAGGCACAGGAGTGCCTAGACCCACCCACATATTCACACACAATGTTTTTTTTTTTTTTTTATAAGGAATTCCAGACAAAAGGTAAACTTTTCACAGTACTGCTTAGGAAGAATCAACATTTCTATTGCTACCTATAACATAGCAAATCTTCATCTTGAGTTCAGGTTCACTTAAGGTACCTCTTGGTGTAGAAATAAGGGGACATTAAAAGAGAAGTATGGATTTAAAAAAAAAAAAAACGTACAGTACATACTAACCTAGATGACTGCACACATTAATCTGATGCTGCATCTGCTCCCCCCCCCCAGCTGTACACCGAGAACTAAGTGGTCAAAGACCCCTGGTTGCTCAGTTCTTGGTCATCAGTGAGCAGAGAACAGTGATTGTTGGCTACAATCCCTCTGTTCTGCCTCTCCAGAGCTGGCTGTGCAGGGGGCAGGACCAGCTGGTTCAGGCTCTCAGCAGCACACAGAGGCTGAGCTAGATGCTGGTCAGGCATCTGGGTGGATCTCGACATCATTGTTGGGATACCTGCACAGCTCTGTGACATCAGCCACAGGGGGCTTATGTTGAGCCACAGGAGTGCAGAACTAAATCTTTGACCAGACTATAAATATGCAATTTGATTATTACTTATATTTTTGTGCATATTATTTGACCACAAATTTGCTTCAATGTTGGGGCTTTGCTTTTGCTTGAGTAACAATACCATATAAACCAACAGGGAAAGTTAGTAAATTTCTTGCAGCCTAAGTTAAGTTTACTGCACTTTCAGGCTTTTTTTTTTTTTAAAAAGTCCTAATGTTGGCAGGCATGTGTAGAAAGTGGTATACTGTAGAAAGCAGATTACTAGAGCTAAAAAGTGATTTCTGGTTTGTATGGGTTATTGCACTTTACACATGATTAATAATTGGTGCTGCTTAATTTTGGCCTTACAGTTAACAATATGGATATGAGATACTGGGGTTGATTTACTAAAACTGAAGCATGCAAAATCTGGGGCAGCTCTGCATAGAAACCAATCATCTTCCAGTGTTTTTTTTGTCAAAGCTTAATTGAACTAAAGGAAGTTAGAAGCTAATTGGCTACCATGCACAGCTGCACCAGATTTTGCACTCTCCAGTTTTAGATCAACCCATTGATGATATTTTTGATGAAAAGTTCACATTATTTCAGTTTATGCAACTTCATTAGTACCACAGCATTCAATAAACAGTCAAGAAACAATTGCTTAGAATGAACTGAACTTCGCTCTTTGAAGACTTGTGGGTGTAAGCCATGTGGTTCGGGAGCTTTATTCACTTTTATTATTTATCTAATAATCTTTGAGCCATCTCAACATTAAGCCTTTGTGGTGGCTTTGCATTATCAGTACAGTTGTCATATTTAGTAATATTACAAGATATGAACTAACTATATGAGTTAACTACATTTAAAATGAATTAAAATATATAATATATATAAATTATATTGTTAATTATAGATATATGGGAGATGCCATATTTTTTATGCAGAAATCATGTTTCATTATATTTATACAGGTTCAATGTTGTCAGGCCCCAATTACAAAATAGTAGTGATTCTGTACAAGTGTTGCTAAGGTAATACTGATTTCAGTTTATTTTATGATTTTTAATTTTTTTTTAAACCATAGGGGTTGACTGTACCGGAGCATATATAAACTTGAGTAACTAAAAACTCCACTTGATAAATATAATTAATAAACAAGAAGGGCGTTTTATATGCCAAAACATATTTACAGCAGCCAGGGTCTTTAAACAATTAAAAACTATGAAAGATTTTGTGTATGAAGCTTGTACAAACTGAGGGTATTGCACTCATTTTAACAGAAAGTATAGATTAGGGGTCTCCAAAATTTTCAAACAAAGGAACCGGTTTACTGTCCTTCAAACTTTAGGAGGGCCAGATTGTGACCAGTGGGGGTACAGAATGTCCCGGGGCCAACGTCAGTGAAAATAAACATGGGGTACTATTCCTCCCATTAATACCCATCATTGGTATTAATGACCGGAATAATGCTCCATTCATTGGTATCAGTGTAAGAAATAGTGTCCCCTTGTTGGTGTCAGTGGGAGGAATAGTACCTCATATCATTGGGAGGAATAGTGCCCCAAGGGCCGTATAAAGGCTAGCAAAGGACCACATCTGGCCCTCGGGCCACAGTTTGGAGACCCCTGGTATAGATGGTTCATTTCTTTTTTTTTTTTTTTCTCATGAAGCTCTGGCCAGGTGTGTTGAGTGCTGCTTCCTGTTGGAGACACAAAAAAAAATATTTGCATTAGAATATAACTGATGATATCCGGTGTACACTAGACCAAGTGATTCCATCAGATAATTCTTGTGATTTCCATGAAATGTTGGGTGGGATCCAGGGGCGGACTGACAACTCATGGGGCCCCCGGGCAATAGGGGATCATGGGGCCCCTGTGTCCTTGCCCAAACTCAAAAAAGCCTATGAAAAAAGGTACCAGGGGCATCTCATAGGGCCCCCTACTGACCCCGGGCCCTCGGGCAGTGCCTGAGTTTCCAAATGGTCAGTCCGCCCCTGGTGGGATCTGAAGTGTAAAATCAAATAGGAGGTTGAATTCAGGGCTGTGCATTTTACATTTGAACTTTACTATTCATATAATCAGAGCTTTTTTTTTCAGCGTGAACGCACGGGAACACAATTCTGGCACCTTCAGTATTGAATGTATGTAATGGCAAGGGGTACTGGGGTGTGCTGGAGAATCTGTTGTTGCTGGAGGGGGGCTATTTTTGCATGGTATTCTATTGTTGCTGGGGGGTTTTATGTTGCTGTGGGGTCAATTGTTGCTGAATGATGTCTACTGTTGAGAGAGGAATCTATTGTTGCTGGCTGCTGTGAGATCTATTGTTGCTGGAGGGCATCTATTTTTGTGTGGCCATTTATTGTTGCTAGGGAGGTTTGTCGCTGGTGGGGGATCTGTTGTTGTGGAGGGACATATATTGTCGGGGGGGTCAATTCTTGCTGAAAGGGATCTACTGTTGAGTGAGGGGTCTCTTGTTGCTGGATGCTGAAGAGTCTATTGATGCTGGCTGCTGGGAAATCTGTTGTTGCTGCCAGGGGTCTATTGTTGCTGGGGGGTCTATTGTTGATGGGGAGGGCCTTTTGCTTCTGGCTGCAGGGGATCTAATTTACTGCTTTTTTTGTTGTTAACTAACAAATTCCATACAAATTACTTAGCACCACAAAATAATACTTGGCTCTATATTCTTTAAAAGGGGACGTACTGGGAGGTGGGTAGAAGTGACTCAAAAGGGGGAATTCCTGCACCTATTCTCTAAGAAAAAAGGCCCTGCATATAATGAACACAAATCATATCTCGATTCAATTGTAGGTTTAATTTTGGATAAATTGGCTTCTGATTGAAGATGTCCGAAGCTGGGCAGATCTAAGACCTTCCATATTGACTACAATAAAGTAGAGATCAAGCAAAAGCTAAAGTGTATTTTCATTATATGTCAATATAATGGCTTAGTTTTTTCATTAACTAATATAAAATATTTTGGTAAATAGATCCTATATAATCCATCTCATTGGAGGGACATATGATCTTTGTATGTCGCATTATAAATCTTGTCATTGAGGATGGTATTGTTACTAATGGGTCATCACTTTTCTCTCCCTACCTGTAATCATGCTAACAGTATTAGACTGCCAACACCATGCACTGTGAGCCTAGATAGAGATGTAAAATTTCTAGAAATTTTGAAACCATGGAGAAAAAAACGTTTTTTTTCCACAAAAAAATGGAAATTTTCTGAAAAATTGAAAGAAAAAAAAATTTAGTGTAGAGTACTTTTACAAACTGAAAGTCATTTTGTTATACTGGGAATGTGAAATGCAGTGTATATAAAACTATCATGCTTGAAATAAAAGTACAACTTACTCAGTAAATAAACTAAACTTACATTTTAAGATGTTATTTTTTTATTACAAATTAAGTAAAAGGACTGTATATGTTATCCACTAGCCTACCGGGCACGTTTGCCCCCTTCGTGCCCAGGCCAATTTTCAGCTTTCAGCACTGTCGCACTTTGAATGACAATTGTGCGGTCATGCAGCTCTGTACCCCTATGACATTTTTATATTTTTTTGCACACAAATAGAGCTTTCTTTTGGTGGTATTTAATCACCATTGGGTAAAATTTGAAAAAAACCCCACTTTTTTCATTGTTTCTATTATAAGATTCTGCAAACAGGTAATTTTTCTCCTTCACTGATGTGCGTTGATGAGGCTGCACTGATAGGCAGCACTGATTGGCACTGATAGGCTACACTGATGAGGTGGCACTATTGGGCATTGATGAAGAGGCACTGATGATGCTGCACTGATAGGTCGCACCAACGGGCAGTGCTGACTTGCGGCACTGACTGACAGCACTGCTGGTCACTGACTGGCGGCACTGATGGGTGGCACTGCTAGGGGGCACTGATGGGTGGCACTGATGGGCACTGATGGGCATTGGTGGAAAGCACTGCTGGGCGTAACTGATCATCAGTACCTTGATGATCAGTGCCGATCTGCTCTGTAACAGCTGCTGGTTATTGGCAATACTTTCCTCATGCTGTGACAGTGCGAAGAAAATGCTGCCGATAACCGGCAACTGTATTTACTTCATGATCTGCTGTGTCATTGGACACAGCTGATCACGTGGTAAAAGGCTGCTGTGATTGGCCTTTTACCTCATCACATGATCAGCTGTGTCTGTAGGACACAGCGATCATGGAGGTCGTCGGGTGCGCGCCGCTGGGGGCACGTGGGAGGACGTGTTCTGGGAGGACATCATATGACACCATCCCAGAACTGGGTAACCACACTGTAGACGTCATCCAGCTATAGCGCAGTTAGCAAGCGGTTAAGAACATTTCAGCTATACATGAGAATAGGTAACCCCCCCCCAAACTCTAGGTGTTAGTCTCACCATTTTCTCGAGAGGAGGAAAAGAAAGCATGGACGGTTGGTTGATATCAAATGAACACTTTACTTGTTGCATAAAATATTTTTTTTTGTCATTATATATGAATTGTAATAATTTGTGTCTAGAATTTGCTCACTTCCACCTAGGAAGTATCGAAGAACAGTTCCCTCTGGAAAATGAAAATGGCATTTTGCCGTGACATATACCATCCTCCATTTAGCTAAGGGTTATGATGAATCACCTTTACAGTGTCATGATGCTGCATGCTTCAAATCACATTTCATCAGGAAGAGCCCTGGAAGAGACAAGAGATTTATATGGAATGGTCTCCCTCTGCTGCTCATTTTTCTGAATTGCAATGAAAGTCATTCCAGAATGTTGTTGGACTCACCCCAGTCGCTTTTTTCTGCCACAGCGGAATCTGCCACCTGAGACACACAGAGAAAGAGATATTCAACTAATGTTTTGATAAATTAATATGAGGGACAGATAAACTTTGTAATTTTTTATGGTTTAAATTTTAGGCCTCCTTACACCTGGGTGTCAAACTTTCATGCTTTGTTTGCACGCCAATGTGCGGCATTTTTTCCATTGCATTAAGGTGGTCATTTTATTAACAGTGGGCTGCCAATGAAAAACGATAGGCAGAAAAGTGGATTTGTACCTTGCTTTTAATGTAATGCAAGATAAAGCAGGGTGTGGTATGCTGCAGTGTGGATCTGGCAGCACCTACACTGTTTGACCTGAATGGCCTGTTAATCGCTTCCCCTCCGCTCTATAGCAGAACTACTGCGGCAGGGCTGCGCAAAATCACGTGTGTGTGTATGTGCGATTTTGCATTTCCAGGCAGGGGGCTCGTGCGCCATTGGCAGCTACGGATGTAAATCACTAGGCCCCATCTGTAGATTCTCCACTGGCACCCGGCGATCGCCGAGTATCACTGACAGGAGAGAGACCTGTGTGTAAACACAAGTCTCTCTCCTGCCAGCAGTAACATGCTGCTTTGTATTCTCTGAGCATCAGAGAAATACACAGCAGTATGTTTCCTTAGTAAAACCCGCACACAGTTTACCCTTTGATTGCCCCAGATATTAACCCCTTCCTGCCCAGTGTCAGTGCACTGATCACTGTATTAGTGTCATTAGGATGTCAGTGGTAGTTAGTCAATCCTCCCCCGGGTCAGAATGCCCACCACAGTCCCGCTATAAGTCCCTGATTACTAGTATCACTCATTACTAGTATATTTAAAAAAAAAATTCCAGCATCTATTCCGCCATTTGTAAATGCTATAACTTTCATTTAAACCAATTAATTTACATATATTGGGATTTTTTGTAGCAAAGACATGTAGCAGAATACATTTTGGCCTAACTTTAGGATGAAATTTGATTTTTTTTTTTTTTTTACTGGTTATATTTTATACCAAAAAGTAAAATATATTGTTTTTTTTAAAAAAAATTGTCGGTCTTTTTTGTTTAGAACTAGAAAAAAAAAACAAAAAAAAAAAAAAACCGCACAGGTAATCAAATACAACTGAAAGAACGCTCCATTTATGGGGAAAAAAAGGACATACATTTAATTTGGGTGCAGCGTTGCATGACCGCGCAATTGTCAGTTAAAATAACGCAGCGCCATATCACAAAACAATGGCATGGTCAAGAAGGGGGGTAAATCCTCTGGAGGGCAAGTGATTAATGTGCACTAACATTTTTGAAACATTTTACCCCATATAGCTACATGACATGAGTGTGAAGGGGGCCTTAAAGTAGACATGAAACCAATCTGAATAATATTTAGGGGCCTCTTTACTAAAACTGCATGGTGCATAATCTGGTGCAGCTCTGTATAGAAGCCAAACAGCTTTCAGATTTTATTATCAAAGCTTAATTGAACAAGTTAGAAGCTGATTGGCTATCATACACAGCTGCACCAGATTGAGTGCCCCAGTTTTAGTAAATCACCCCCTTAGTTGCTTCATGCACTATGCAAAATTTTCTTGATTCTTTAAAAAATATACTTGTTTTCAACTTTTTTTTATCCTTTCTTCCATCTCAGTGTTTCAAATTTCCTGCAACCTATTTGCAGCCACTTCGTGTCCAAATGCACGTGCTTTAATAACTGCTGCATAGTAATTTTCCTGATGGACCATGCCTATGTAATGTGTGTTCAAATGGCTGCAGATAGTCCTAATTAGAAACCCATGTGACATGGTGACAATGCAGGAGCACAATAGAGACAGAGCGTTGCCACCCTATAACAGGAATCGACTACCTAAGGACTCTCATGGCAGGATCATCTGGTATTAATTAATGAATGCTGCACATTTTAAAACATTGAAAATGGCGTTTGAAATGCCATTAACATCTTAAAGCTTGTATAAGATTTTAGTGATTGGGTTTACATATTAGGTATTAAAGTCAAGGTATACATATAATTTAATGGTAGGTATAGGATAAAGTGCTTAAAAAACAGGATTCCTTTAGCAGGATATCTGAATACACAGATACAGTATCTCACAGAAGTGATTACAAACCTCACATTTTTGTAAATATTTTATTCTATCTTTTCATGTGACAACACTGAAGAAATGACACTTTGCTACAATGTAAAGTAGTGAGTGTACAGCTTGTATAACATGTAAATTTGCTGTCCCCTCAAAATAACTCAACACACAGACATTAATGTCTAAACTGCTGGCAACAAAAAAATTATTACACCCCTAAGTGAAAATGTCCAAATTGGGCCCAATTAATCATTTTCCCTCCCCGGTGTCGTGTGACTCGTTAGTGTTACAAGGTCTCAGGTGTGAATGTGGAGCAGGTGTGTTAAATGTGGTGTTATCGCTCACACTCTCTCATACTGGTCACTGGAAGTTCAACATGGCACCTCATGGCAAAGAACTCTCTGAGGATCTGAAAAAGAGAATTGTTGCTCTACATAAAGATGGTCTAGGCTATAAGAAGATTGGCAAGAACCTGAAACTGAGCTGCAGCATGGTGGCCAAGACCATACAACGGTTGTCACATGAAAAGATATAATAAAAATATTTACAGAAATGTGAGAGGTGTATTCACTTCTGTGAGATACTGTATTAAAGCATTTATGTCAAAAAAATATTGCTTATAACAGGAAATTGAATGTCCATAAAATGTGTCTGTATATTTCTGTGCACCTGTGTTTATTTAAATATATATGTATATACTGTATATTATATATACTGTTTAGAAGATATGACATTACTCACTGAATATGACAAACATGCCAATCACAAATGCTACTGCTGCAAAGATAAGGCCACCTCGTCTAACACTCTCGTAATCTGGAAACATGATAAAGAATGGTCAACACACTCAAAGTAGGAAATGCAGTACAAACCATCAGATATATTCTTTTGTTTCTGCTTTTCAAAATCATCCAGTCATAGCAATTCAGTGACTAAGTCTGGCCATACTGATCAGTGGCTGCAGAAACATTTTCCAACAAGTTTGCTTGACAGAAGTCGATCCTTAGATTCTGTTGAGCAGGAGGGGCCACAAATGGCCGGGCCCCCATGACATCCTTACCAAGGATCCTTATCAAGGATAAGGGTCTGGTATATATTTTTAATGGGAACTATACACCTTTTTTGTGGGGTCCCCCAATACGATCAACACCAGGACCTTACCTAGATTAAGGGTCTCGTATAGATGAAAGGAACCCGCACCATTTATTTACAGACAGAATGAAACAGCCGGGAGTTGCCAGTTACTGGCAATTTACCCACCATTGTTTTCTTTGTGAATATCAGTGTTCCTGTAGCAGGTGGTGTACATTGTACTTTACAGGCAGGTTTTAATGTTGCCCTTTAAGCAGTATTAAAATTGCTTCTCCCACAAATGGAGTTTTTGAAAAAAATTGTTTTTGCTTTCACACGTGTTCCCTAGTGCAGTGCCATATGTTTCACAATCTCTTGCCATTGGCCTAGAAAATGTCCATTGCAGTTTTTTAAATATCTGGCTCCCATTGGCATTAATAGGCTTCACATTCAGAGCAGAAAAGGACTTGTAACCGAGCACTTAACATGAACACATTGGCATTATCTGTGCATTATGATAACCCAAGCACAGTGTGCACTATGGATTTTTAGGCTAGGTTCACATCTGTGCGGGCGGTGTGGCTGCGGATCTGCACAAAAATCACCACCCGCACAGAGGAATACGGACCCACGGGTGGGTGCCATTAGTTCTAATGGCACACTGCCCACACTGGAAAACGCAACTGTAGTGGAGACCGAGGTTCCCGTGCGGGCTACGTTTTCAGAAGTGCAGGGACTTCTTCCCTGCATCTCACGGGGCACGGGAGTCTATTCAAATGAATGGGCTCTCGTGCCTGCGCAAAACACGGCCCGCACAGCCGCATATATGTGAACCAGGGGTTACTTTTACTTTCTTTTTACAATTGCCATCTATAATGCTATCAGTATGCACTTAATGCAGTTTTTTCCCTGCTTCAAATGCACAAAATCAATCCCTAATAGTGTTTCTATAGACCAATAAACAGAATAATA